AAAAAAAACAGACTGGCTGCTTAATGCTTCTTTTTCCTGGAAAAAAAATGAGATTTGTGGCTTTCCAGACGCTCCTGGAAAATTTGTTATGTTACAAAAAGATGACATTTTAAAATATACAAGCCAGGTTGATTATTGCTACTCAACAGTAACCGGGGTGGAGCATAGCAAATGTATCAGAGGCCTTTAGAATGCTTTTCGTTCAAATGAATGTTGTCATAACATTTTGCAGGGTGCTGACAGATTTTACACACACTTGCAGTGGATTACAGCGGAAAAAAAAGAGAAGACAGAAAAGGAAGAAGAGATTAATTTCTAAGGTAAGCCTCACTGGGCAAGTGACAGTTGCTAAAGTGGACATTTTAAGGGTATATGTCCATGTTAAGTTTAACTTTTCTAAACACAGTGTGGACCTCTACATGTGTTGCTCTTCTAAGTTACTTGTTTGCTGAACAGTGTGAAAGTGTGAAATGCTATTAACATGTAAAAAAAAAAACAACAACAATCATTTATTATTGAAGTTGCATCCAGTAAATCTAATATCACTCATCAATCCTCTCACTTACTGCTTTATTCTGATAGTTAGTTGGACACAGTATTTCATTTTTCCCCATTTGGACTTTATTTTGTTGTCTGAACTTTTTCCAAGCGTTTCAATAAACAGCTCACCTGTTTTCTTTGTCACATCTACAGACTGTGACATTTGAGTACATTTCAGAGCCTGTTAAGAAGTTTAATTAGGACTTGGACTTCTTCCGGGTTCTGATTTTGAGTGTCCAGCCTCAGCGACACATATCAATACATAAAACACTGGTTAGACCTCATAGTCAAAGCCAATACAGACATTGGAAGAACTGATGCAGTGCAGGCACCAAAAACAAAATCACCTGGACAACATTTTGGAGAATGATGTACTTGAACCTTACCCAATACACAGTGTTGGGGAGTAACTGAATATATGTACCAGAATTATGTAATTAAAATACAAAATATGAGTATCTCTATTGCGTTACAGTTACCACATAAACATAGGTGATAATTAGAATATAGTTACTTTGCTGAAATAAATGAATTACACAGTGGTCTTTTCCTGTTTCATATGTTAGGCTATCTCCTCTTTCATTTTGGTAATTCCACACACTGCCGCAAACTCAAACAAAACATGCTTGCTGTTGTGTTCTCCATGCCTATCTCATTATCTCATTCCTTTTTATTTTGTAACATGAATGGTCATGGCCAAAATCATCATCAGTAGGAAAAGCTGTAAAACTTCTGAAAGTAAAGTTATAAGTTAATGTTTATTCCTACCTTCACATTTTCCAAACCTGTCCTGTGGTCTGGGTTGGAGTGTTTGCCAGGGGAATTTTGGCCCAAAGCCCTATGTTTGACACCCCTGCTGTACTCTAGCTGGTTTAGGCCCTGTCATGTGCCCATAACACTCTTTGCCCTGTTACTACCACTGCTATTATTGTTGTTGTTATCGTTATTATCGTCATCATCATTTTTACTAACACCAAAACGGATCAAACTTAAATTTTCGTTTAACAAAGTTTAGCACAACAGCTGGAAAATTACTGGTATATTCTGGTTACGTCACGGCAATGTCTTTTTTTTTTTTTTTTTTTTTTTTTACCGTAACATGTCTTTTTTTCCCCCTTGTTTCACTTGCTGTGTAACATGATTCCAAATATGGCTGATTATATTTTTGACAATAGAGAGATCATAACAGCGTTGGGTACGTTGTTGTCTGTACATGTTTTTTATTTATTTATATTGTTTAACAAATATATATATATCTCATTAATGATAAAATATGAAGAATTCCTGCTAATTACGGTAATGCGCGGAAATGACGTCGGATTCGTAGCTGTATAAGGACGTGGTTAGTTCCGGTGAAAAGTGGTTTTCGCTGCTTTAAGGCAGTCGATTTTAGAGAAGGATAAATCATGTTATAACTAACTGCTGTATAAATTTTACGATTAGATGAATTCATTTATTGATACCATGAGAACTTTTCCCCTCTGGGGGTTCTGCGCTGTAAGGCCTTCTCTCGCTGTCGGGCTCACCATTGACTGAAGACACAATGCAGGCCTAGCTAGCATTTAAGGTTAAGTAGCGGAAGCTAATCGGATTGGCAGCAGACTGCAGTGGGATTTAAACCTCGGACGAAGCCTGTGTTTCCAAGCTGTCCTAACATCAAATCCGGTATGTTCCAAGTCACTCTACATTCACCATCTGTTCTGGGCACCTTGAGAATGATTTGACCCCGCTTGCTTGGATGAGATGTTTTTTAAGCACCATATTGTAAAAGAAGTGGCTGCGTTAGCATGTTAGCATTAGCGAGTTAGGTATCGTTGCCTTGTTGATTTGATCTTAAGTCTCTTACTTTAGCAGGAAAAACAACTACCAGAAATATGAAGGATTTTAGTTTTTTTAGTAGCGATATGGAGATGTGTCATCAGTGGCTTGAACACAGCAGTTGTCTATAAACTTCAGTCGTGAATGGTAAACTGTAGCTAAAGAATTTGGTTGAGCCGATCCGTCGAAGATCTCCACCCTCCACCCTTAGCAGGGCAGTTCGAGGGGTTTTTGTTGTAACAAAGGGTCGACTGAAAAACGAGTGAGGGGTCAGTCAGATTTTTTTAGGAGGTAAATGCAGCATTGAAAACTAGCTTCAGAACACTGGGACGAGTCGTGCAGGTTATTAATCGAGATTGCAGTAGAAGTGGGTCTGTGTAAGAGCCTGACAATAGGTTTGTGTTAAATACAGGTTTTCGTTTGCAAGACCGGTAGCTTAATTTAACCGACAAACACTTCTGATATCAAAGAGCAGATCACTACTGCCGGGCGGTGTGTTTGTCATGTTCTCCGTGTTGTCTCTGCCTGTTAACGCCGTTATGAAACTTTTCCGTAAGCACGTCCGTCCTTTAATGTTGTCACTATGCTTGCTTGCTGTTTCGTTTCTTTTGTCGGTTTACCTAAACCAGCTTACCGACTTGCACAGAAACACACACACAGCTCGCAGTTATTTACAGTGAAATTCACTCTCAAGTTCCAGGTAGCGTTGCCTACAGTTAGATGAGCAACACGCATGACTATATAAACTTAAATTAACACAAGCGTGTTCACTTTTTCCCCTCTCCACTAAGAAGTAGATCGTGGACATTATTTAAAAGCAGATCTGAAGCTATTTTATCGGATAATTTAGGCTTAAATCTTTAAAATAATGTTTCTTCTATAAAATAAAAAAATTTTATGGAAAGTTTTTAATTGAACAGAATAACTTAAATCAGAATACCTTATTAATCCCTGAGGAAATTATGTGGTTACCGTTGCTCCAAGAAAATAAGAACAGTAACAGACTGAAATAAATTATATAAGATACAACTTACAAATAAAAGATAGAAGAAATTAAAAAGTAATTTATTTTATTATGTGAAATGGCTCTAATGTATACAAATAGGTCAATTTTAAAAATTGGGCCACTCAGAATATACATTTGGCCATTGCTACTGCTTTTACAGGTCCATTCATAAAAGTAAAAAAAATGGGGGGAAAATAGAATTTTTATTTTTTTGGCTTATTCCCTTAAAAGTAAATGAAAATCAGAATTTGCTAAAATTTAACTAAAGGTTTCACCACTAGGTCGCAGTGTTTTACCAGAAAGTTTTAATGTACCGGTAGTTGTCCCCATATTAATAACAGTATTTGCCCTAAGTGGTTCAGTAGATTTGTTATAGGGCTTTTTCTCTCTCTCTCTCCTTTTTTAAAATCACTAGTTTGTTGTTGTTTTTTCACTTAAGATTTTTGTTTTTATTTTTATTTCTGGTGAGTAGCAGCAGATCCCCCAATTTTAATTACTTTATCAGCCAAGTCCCCACCCCCTGCTTCAACATGACTTTTACCAGGTGCGTTTTACCACTCTGTTAGTGGGGGTTTTTGTGCATCATATTTTAATTATTGGGAAGTCGTCCATCAGCTCATTGTGGTGACAGTTCTACTGGCAGAAGCGAGGCCTGTAATCTTGGAGGAGCTACTGAGGAAACAATGGGTGTTTCAGAGCGGTCGTTGTTCTAGCGATCGCTTGTCATAACTGATTAAGATAGTGATTGGAGCTTGATGTGCTTCGTGGAGCATTGCAGCAACAAAGTGACACACTCATACTTCCTGGACCACTGTTGGATGGTATCAGACTTCAGGATGTTTCGAGTCGATGGTGACATTAACCTGAGCTGCAGGAAGAAATATAGAGAGATGGAAAAGTTGTATGATTACGGACCCTTTACTCCAGGATAGTATTTCTGTGGCCTGAATATTGAACTGGCAGCTGCAAAATCCATCTATATTACTTGCTGAAGGAATTCATCATTGCTGTTGCTGTCTGAATCCAGTTTCGGTCAACATACTTTCCGGATTCTTCAATCAGCTGGAACAGGTCACGTAAATGGCTGTGCTTATTGAATGGATCCTAACTACCCTCTTCACCTCTTACTGGACATGCAGCTGAGCACTTCTGGCTCCCTTCCCAGAATGACAGATACAAAAAAACCACCTCATACAGTAATAGCTGCTTTCATTTTAGTGTTTGTTTGTTTTTTTGTTTGTTAGCTTGCTTTGTTTTTGTTGTTTTCTTTGCAAAACATCAAATATAAGTTGTTTTTCATATGTTCTGGATGCTGTAACACAAATTTTCCCAACTGTTCAGAATTTTTTTAAACTTTTATATCCGATATAATTTTCTTTTTTAAACTTTATTTTATTATTTTTAAACTGTCACGTGATCATGCCAGTGACATAATTGAAGGACTGCTGTGTAGATATTCTAGTCACAAAAACATCAAAAGGTAGTCTGACCACATTGAGAATAGTACAAAGTACAGCACATGTATATTTTATTTTAGTAACTTCTGTAAGTGTATTAGATATAATGCTAAATTTTATTGTGCATCTGTAAAATCTTTTGCATAGCGTTCTCAGGTTGTTTGCACGTGCATCCTCGCAGTCTTGTAGCTGGGGCCTTTCTCTGGCGTTTGTTTTCCCACCGTTCAGTCATGTGGTTTTTTGGGCTACTGCCAACTGTATTTGCACAGAAGTAGCAAGAGCTGCTGCCTACACTTGCATGGGTATTTTCTTTATGCCACACATTTGGCATTATAGCAAATTAATAACAAACATTATTAAGATTGCATTACACTTAACATATCCATGAATCCACTAGCATTCCAGTAAATGTCATCATCAGGCACGAAGCGTGAGGGTCTGCGCAGTTGTCGCAACCCCGTGTCCAAAGTATGTGGTACAACCGGTCTGTAAGCTACTCTTATTTGTGCTGTCCGTCACCCAACCAAGAAGAAGAACAAAGTTGTGGCGTACAGAAGGTTAAAGTGGGAGAGTTAAAAACCAAAAGTTTTCATTGCTGCCACCACCTGTACCACTCAGATGTTTACTATTTTTGTTTTTTCTTTCTAAATTCCCTTTCTTTACAAGGGGAATGACTCTTTCTGGGTGCTTAAGGAACTGATTGCTGTAGTGTTAGCTCCAATACGCATCCTTTCACATTTGCCTCTTGAGCTACATTTCCTCTTCTTTCCACACTGGGCTCTTGCAGTCTGGACTCCATATTGACTCACTACACCACCATGTGATTCAAACTGGCATTACAGAAGACTTATTGTTCAGTTCACTTGGAATCTCAAAAACCCATTCGACACCCCCCGCCCTTTGTTTTTGTTTGATGATTTACCACTTTCCAAAAGAATATGATTTTAATCATGGGTGCCCCTCATGCCTCAATAGGTATGCATGGATTTGGAAATGCAGCTACCCCTTGCGCAAGATCCTGCCTAGTTGTAAAGCTAAATAAGTGTTTCATGCAGTTTTCATTCATCAGGCATACTTCCTGAAATTGCTTAATATGCAGGCATACAGATATGGGTTGAATTTGATCAAACTGTGAGGTGTCGACTTATATTTAATATGCAGCCTGATGCACTGCACTATCTCACTGCACCTAATAAACTTGCAACAAAACAGAACTGTGCAAAATTCTTGAGGCATCTCTCATTTCTTTGTGGGTTTTGGTGTTTTGTTTTTCTTTGTTTGTTTTTTGTTAAGCAATAGTTCTACAGGCTTGCTGAATGTCTTTCAGAGTTCTCCCTTGAAAATTGGCTTTTTCCAGCCATAAAAGGATGATGGGGCATTGTCATAATGCTGCTAGAACAGCATAGACACAAGTTTGTGAATGTGATGACTCGAGAACATGGCGGTGTAGGATTTTAAATTCATGCCATAGGTGAGTTTACTGAAAATCTCAGACGAGTTTGAATCTTGGTGACGTTGACTTCAAGGTTAAGGTCAGAGGTAAATCTTTTCCTGACTTGTGAATGTGGTAACTCAAGAAGTCGTATTGACAGACCAAAACAAAGGGTAGTGAACATCCAGAGAACAACTTTGAATGTCCTTCAAGATGCCTGGAGAACTATCCCTGAAGGCTACTTAAAATGGCAAGAAGCTTGGCTAAGAGTTCAGGCTGTGCTGAGGAATAAATGTGGTCCTTCCAAATACTGACTTCTTTTTGTTTTATATGCTTTATTTCTATTTATGTTTGTACATGCTTCATTAAGTTACTGCATCTATTTCCATTTTGGTACCAAAATATAAAGAAATGAGGTTTGGCTGGAGAAATTTACACAGTACAATAATGTATCACAGTTATTCTAAGATACACAACTGTATTTGTTTGGGTTGTTTTGTTTTGTTTGGTAGGCCATGTGGCTAACACTCTTCAATTTCTTTACAGCTATGAGTTCCCAGCAGCTGCAGGTGTTCTCCCCTCCGTCAATCTCCTCCAGTGCCTTTTGCCGCGTCAAGAAGCTCAAGGTGGAAAGCAACGTTTGGGACGTGTCCACCACTGAGGCTTACGGATCCATAGCGGGCCAGTCCGCATACACATTCACCCCAGCCATGGCTGTGCCACCATTTGCGCCATCTCTGGTCTTCCCCCCTACAGCGCCCGGCTCCAGGGGTCAAGTGGTGGTGCGAGCAGCTGATAGCACCGGCAGTCTTCCTCGTGGATCCAGTCGACGCGTCACTGAGCAGGCTACATCCTCCTCTTATGCTCACGAGACGTCCTCTGAAACTAGGGGGCACAGGCATGGGCAGAAGAGAAAGATGGAGGCGGCCAGCGACTGTAGCGGAAGCGGATGTGGAAGCGTCCAGATATTAGAAGAGCTCTCAGCTCCTGCGGCAACTTACTCCACGCGTACAGGCGGCGGTGGAGGCGGGGGCACAGGCCAGTCCATACCTCACTCTGCTCCAACCACCAAGAGCAGCAGCTCCAATGGTGAAGGGGATTATCAGCTTGTGCAGCATGAGATCCTCTGCTCCGTGTCCAGCGGCTATGAAGTGCTGGAGTTCCTGGGGAGGGGCACATTTGGACAAGTGGCTAAGTGCTGGAAGAGGGGAACCAATGAGATTGTAGCAATCAAAATTCTGAAAAACCACCCTTCATATGCTCGGCAGGGCCAAATTGAGGTAAGTAAACAGGATTTTGTTCGATGTACCAGTTTCTTCTAAAAGTTTACGTTACATACACAAATTGCTGTTCACTACACTTGCATTCCCTTCATAGGGGTGTACTAGCGTTTGTCTTTCTCATCATATTTGGTTGTTTTTTTTTTTCCTTTCCTAATAGGTGGGCATTCTGAACCGGCTAAGTGCAGAGAACGCAGATGAGTACAACTTTGTGCGTTCGTACGAATGCTTCCAACACAAGGGTCACACCTGCTTGGTTTTTGAGATGCTTGAACAGAACTTGTACGACTTTCTCAAGCAGAGCAAGTTCAGCCCACTTCCCCTACGGCACATCCGCCCCATTTTGCAGCAGGTTGGCAAACTGTGAATGCAGAAAAAAAGTTGATTCCTCTTTTTTTTTTTCACCCAGACTAACTCTCATGTGTTCATGTCTTTAGGTGGCTACAGCACTAATGAAACTGAAGAGCCTGGGTTTAATTCATGCAGACTTGAAGCCTGAAAACATCATGTTGGTGGACCCCATTAGACAGCCCTACAGGGTGAAGGTCATCGACTTCGGCTCTGCAAGTCATGTGTCCAAAGCAGTGTGCTCAACCTACTTACAGTCCCGTTACTACAGGCAAGTGGAGCGTTTAAGTGCCTTTAAGTTTGCAGTGTTATGCGTAAGAGTTGTGTTAATGTGATTCAGTTGTGTAGCCCAGTTCTGTCCCCACATTAATGTATAAATCTCATCTTTCTTGTTTAGAGCTCCAGAGATCATTTTGGGGCTGCCCTTCTGTGAGGCCATTGACATGTGGTCTCTAGGGTGTGTGATTGCAGAGCTGTTTCTGGGTTGGCCTTTGTACCCTGGAGCCTCTGAGTATGACCAGGTCAGTCATGTTCATGGTCTGAAGGACTTACAAGTTAGCAAAAACAGTGCTCAAAGAAAGACTAGGAAAGTCTTCCTTTCGAATAAAGGTCACATTTTTCTTCAAGTAAGCATGACGACATGAATGTGCCACCACCCTGCTTTGTAAGAGAATGGTATTTAGTTTTTCTCACATCAGATTGAGTGTTTTTGGCAAATTATAATTGACCTATTAACCAAAATGCCATGCCGCTCTAAATCCAGGTATACGTATTTAATAAGTCAGTTATAGTACTCTTAACTACACAGTACTTGAAACATCGCAGTTCTGCAGTGATTGCTTTATCTCTATATTTTCTTCTGTGTCCAGATCCGTTACATTTCCCAGACTCAAGGCCTACCTGCTGAGTATCTTCTGAGTGCCGGCACAAAGACTAGCCGCTTCTTCAATCGAGGCCCTGACTCTAGCTACCCGCTCTGGAGGCTTAAGGTTAATATTACGAGTATCTTCTTGAATAAGCTGTAAAGAGACTTGATGCTCGTTTTGATTTGGTTCCTTTATTTTGGTTGTCCCCATTCAACCGATTTAATGTTTGTAAATGGTAGTGTTATGAAACATAAATGGATATTGTGCTTCTTTTTTTAGACCCCGTCAGAACATGAAATGGAGATGGGCATCAAATCTAAGGAGGCTAGAAAGTACATCTTTAACTGTCTGGATGACATGATGCAGGTATATCCAAATAAGTGCATAACCCAGGAAATGGCTTTAAATATGGCATGTAGTGATTGCCTGACCAGGTTTTTCCTTTTTTGTCCTTCCCTTCTTGTCATTAACCTACCAGGTCAACCTTTCCTCTCACTTGGAGGGAACTGACATGTTGGCTGAGAAAGCTGACAGGAGAGAGTTTATAGACCTCCTGAAGCGAATGCTTCGTCTGGATGCTGACAAAAGGATCACACCTACAAAAACTCTGGGTCACCCCTTTGTCACGATGAGCCACCTCATGGACTATCCCCATAGCTCCCAGTAAGTGTGTGTAGCAGGATGAAGAGTTATTGGTCTATTTAAATGCATTTGCTGATGCAATGGTATTAATTCCTCTTCAGTGTGAAGTCGTGCTTCCAGAATATGGAGATCTGCAAGCGCCGGAGCTCCTATGAAAGCAGCAAATCCCTCTACTCGACCAATGCAGTCCCCAGTGCTGCAGCGGGCAACCTCACCGTGACCTTCAGTAGCCAACTAAACCAGCATAACCAGGTATGATGCTAAATTTTTACTCTTCTGTCAACCTGTAGTCTTTGCTGGTATTAATGGGCTTTGTTGTTTAACAGGTGCCTTCTGCAGCGGGTGCGGTGCCTTTGCTGAACTACCAGCCAGCTTTGTACCAGCAAGCGACCATCAACATTCCCGGGCTGACTCAGCAGAGTGTCCCGATCCCAACGCGTCCTGCTGGGCTGTGTAGCCAGACGGAACCCTTCCAGCAGACACTCATCGTCTGTCCACCCTCCACTATCCAAGGTAAGTCATAAAGTTGATTACAAACATTCACTTTAATTTCAGTATTAAAGGTATGAATCCTCTGTGCTGGTTTGTGTCAGGCTTTCTGTACCAACAAAGTCTTGTTTTTGTTTTTTTTACCATCTACTACAATATTTGTAGATGTTGTAGTAGATGGTAGATCCTTTTAATCCTTTAATAATTGAGATGTTTGTCATCGTTTGTTTTCTAGGGCTGCAGTCATCCAGTAAGAGTTCCAGTTTCCCGGTGAGGGTGGAGAACTCTGTACCGATAGTACCTCAGAACCAGTCTACTCAGTCCTTGCAGATACAGCCAAGTATGCTGACACAGGTAAGAGTTTGGAAGGACCAGCGTTTGAAGGAATTCTTGAGTTTTGTGTTGTTGTTTTTTTTAATTTATGAATTTTCTATCAAGAGACACAGCATCTTGTTGTTGTTTTTTTTTAACCTTTTCTGTTCCCTAGTTATTTTTGGGTGAGTTTGATTGTGGATTTACAGTGGGTGATGTTATGACTGTTTAAAAAAAAAAAAAGCGTTGTGTGTGACTGTTTGCAACCTTTACCTGAGAACTTTTCCGCTTTTAGACGTGCCACACACTTGGCAAGAGAGTGGGAGTGCACACACGGGCAGGCAGAAAGAAGTGCCGCGGCTTTGACTGATTTGCTCACTTTTCACCGTTTTATTTGTAATTCTATGCTTCTGTGCCGTGAATGGATTCAGTCTTTATTGTGACCATTCGAGTGACAGCTGTGCATTCTGAATGGGTCCAACACTGAACATAGATGGAGGTTATATTCACATTTCCTGGAAGAAGAGATGAGGTTAAGTTGTAACTGGGGTCTGGTGTATTTGGGTTTTCTTTATTATCTGATGTAACTTAAACGTACATAAATACACCTTTTTTTCTTTCTTTTTTTCTGAATAATCTGTCATTCAATAATTTCAGCTCAGGGGTTACTGTAAAAAATCTGGAAACATCCCGCTGTTACTTGCACCAGTTTGTGGAGCACTGATGCCTTGTTTTGCTCCTTTGTGGATATACTGAGTGCATCTAAAAATTCTCCCTGCTTCTGTTGGTCTTACTGCCAGGAGGAAGGCAGATCAGGTTCTTCAAAGGAATTTAGGGCATAAGATGTTAGCTACTTAAATGCGAGTGTTGAAATAAGTCGAGGGCCTGGACTTTACTGTATTCTGTTTGTTTTTCTTTTTCTGTTGACTGTGTGTCTCCACTTGAATTTGCTTTAAGAGCTGACTGGATCACCACTTTTGGCCAGGCCTCTTATTCCCAGTCTTTTTATGTGGGAGAAAGGCCACATGTGTAGTGAGACTCATCTGGCTCCAAAAGCTGGTTAATTGCTGTTTGTTAAATTGAGGAATAATTGCTGCACTCTGCAGAGGCCAGGTCTCCAGATGGCCAGCGTTGCCAGTGTGCATCTCTTGTGCAGCTGGGTGTATCTGCTCTGCCTGTTTTTATTTTAAAAAAGAGAAAAATCTGTATCAGTCTTGAAGGGCGCTACTTTTCGTCATGACTTAACACTGCCCCTCCCTCCTCCAGGGTTCCTGCACACCCCTGATGGTGGCCACCCTGCACCCACCCCCAGCAGGCCTAGCCCCGCAGTATTCTCTGCCCCTTGGGCTGGGCACTGGGGTGGGTCGGCCTACCCTCCTGGAACACACAGCCACAGTGCTGGTAAAGCAACGATGACATACCCGAAGAAAGACATGCACACTCCCTCTACCACTAACAATGCCATCTCTCTCCTGCCCTGCTCTCCTTTTTCTTCTTTTTTTTGTTTTGTTTGCAAGTGTTCCGCTCCCTCTCTGCCACGCGTTGTAAGGGGCCCATCTTTGTTTTACACATCGTATTTCAGCATCGTTCCTCTTCACATGTGGATTTGTCACCTTTCATAATTATGGTCGTTTGATGCAAATTTTTATAGGAAAATCAAACGTTTTTGTGTGTGTTCTGGCATCACATTTTATATTACTACTTTATTTTATAAACCCCCTCCACAGTGCAAAATTGACCAAATTTACACTGCGTTTTTACTCATGCTCGCCCCACACCATTCACAGTTTCATTCCCCAGTCTTTCCCCATAGGTCTGCTGAGGGCATGGAGCGCATGTGTTGCTGAGTTGGTCTGCGCTTTGCTTGCAGCTTCTCTTGTCATGTCCTTCCTTGGTTTCAGCAGAGGGGGCTGCAGCAACAAAGTCCTGACAGCCTGTCTGACTCTGACACATACTTTTTTCTTTTTTGTGTTTGTTTGGTTTTTGTTTCAGCCCCAGAACATGTGGCATGCCTTTTCCCAAGACATATCATCAGCAGACTGTTTAGCAGCAGGGAACTCAACTAATCTCTTAGTGTTTCTTCTTTAACAGGCACCATGGTTCTGCCTACTTGTCTTTATACCTGATCTGACATTTTACGGTGCTTCATTGTTTGTGCTTTGCATGATTATCATCTTGTGGATTTGTTGCAGGGCAATGTTATAATTAAGGAATGGCTTGGGAAAGGTTGCTCGCTTATCTAGCTTTGCGCTCTTGCCTGTAGAAGAGATTGGCCATTGGCTTGCCTCTTTGTATTCAGTCTTTGGAATTTATATGTCCGCATGGCTCAGTTTGTCTGGCCCATTCCAACAATCAGATAATTTGTTTTCATCCATACACAATTTGTCTTCCATATTACATGCACTCAAGTGTTGGTTGTTGTGTTTTGTTTTTTTTCTGTTTGTTTTTTCTCAGCAGGCCTGGCCCACTGGTACCCAACAGATCCTCATACCATCATCATGGCAGCAGGTCCCAGGCGTAGCCATCCACGGCTCTGCCCATCAGTCAAATGTCACCGAATCACCTGTGGAAACGATTCCCTCAGATGCTGCCACGCAGCAGGGACACAGCTGGCGGTGGGTCAACCAACAACTGTTAAAGATGCATGTAGACTGATGGGCTTCTCAAATTTAAAGCTGAATCATTTTCAATGTTATTTCTTTCAGGTTAAATTAGAATAAAAATAATGAAATCGATTAAAAATTAAATAACTTTCTATCGCTTTTCATAACTAGTATCTGAAATGCTATGTTATTGTTATTTCATACGCAAACACTTTGGCCTCCAATTAACTCATTTCAGATAAGTTAATAAGATGCTACAAATCTTTTGGGGGTTTTGTTTAGTTGAGTAGCAACACTAGAACTGGTTAATTTCATACTACATGAGAAATACTGCATTGAAAGGTGAAGTAAAATGGCAAATATGAAGGCTAAACTAGTCTGACCTTTGACCTTATAGGAGCATTACCAAGACTCAGCAGGAGAGGAAGAAGGTGAAAGCCAGACGTGGAGAGAACAGGAACAGGTTGGTACAGCTCTGCTCTTCTTCCAGTTTAATTTTAAGAGTCCTCATTGGGGTTTAAGCTACCATACCGAGGGAGAGATGGCTAAAGGGCCTGTGACGGTTGCCACACTGGTTCTTTCGCTTGCAAACAGTGACAGGACACTTTTTATACCTGCACTGAGGGCACAGCATCCACTGCTGTATTCTGCTAAACGATACGTGTTGCCACTCAGACAAAAAGCCTTCTTATGGGAGTAAAGACTAGTTGAAACTAGAAGCAAAGAAAATGGCTTTATTTTTATATTTTTATATTTTTATTTAAAGTCTTCTTTGTGGTACCGCAGCTGATGGGTTGAACACACAGTCAATGGTTGGTGATGGTGGTGTTTTTCTTTCCCGTAGGGGTGTATCTACTGCATCAGTGGTCAGTAGTGGCGTGACTCCACCCAGCTCCAGCGCAGCCTTGTCACAGCCGATCGTGATCTCGGACACGCCGAGCCCAGCGGTCAGCATCATTACGATTCACAGTGACACAGACACGGAGGATGAGCATAAGTTCCACCCTGCTAGGTGAGAACAGGATGCTCTTCTGCACTGAACAGTGGTGTGGTGTTTCTTTCTCAGATCACTTTCATTCCTAAGTTGAAATTTCAGAATGTCAAGGTAAATGAGAGAAATGCAAAGCAAGGCTTCTTTGAGCTCATAGACAGCACTGGGACCCAATTCATGTAGAATGAAAGCTGTTGACGTACTCGTTTGCCTGATATGACCCGGGAAATTACTTACTTCCTCCACAGTCTTGAACTGAGCCAGCGCACCAACGTTATCAGCTGTGTGACCGTACACGACTCGGACTCCTCTACCGCCAGCCCCCTGACTCCCCTTCCACGCACTCTTAACCCAGCAAGCACTATGTCATCTCGCCAGGCCAAGTCTCTGGCAGTAGTGGCACCTTCAGTCAAAACACAGGCATCTGAGAGAGGAGCAGAGTCCCGAGGACGCTTGGAGACTGGTGAGTCACCCGTGTGCTGCTGTAGTTTTAGCAGTGTATTTAACTGAAGTGTGAAAGCTGCATAATTAAGTATGTCTTACTGCTTTGAATTCTCAGTGAATTACATCAAGCCCAAGAGATCCTCTAACAGACAGCCGTGCAGTTCAGGGGAAAGTGTGGAGCGCCATGGACTGGTGCCAAGCCAGTCGCACCCTTTAAACCTCAGCCAGGTGAGGCTTGTTTTATCTTGTTGGTTTTACATTAAGTAATTAATGTGTGTTAATGGGACATTGTTTTGTGAGAATCCTTGTCCTTAACCACGCAACTAATCAACTACAGGAGGCTGGGCCCTTATTTTGATTGTAGCAATATGAGGAGAGTAAAGGTTATAGGTAAGCTACATCAGAGTGCACCATGTCATCATGTGATTGAGTGAAAAGGTCAGGAGCTGTCATAAGTTATGACATTAGCACCTTTTACCAGCAAAGTTATAAAACATTTTTTCCCAAGGATTCTTAATATCCTGTTATTAAAGGCCTACGTGTATTTACTGCCCTCTGCTGGGGGAAACGTGTATTGAAACTTTTTCGGTAAGGTTTGCATTTGTACCATATGCAGCGATTGGACAGCTGAACATCCAAAAGTATCTAATTTTAGCATTAGTTTTGCTTTATATGCACATTATGTCAAGCACCAGGAGTTTCCCCTCGTTTTTTTTTCCTCTTAAGGCTCCGGCTGTTATTTTTACAACACAATTAGTGCTGCAGCTGTTTTTTTTTGTTTGTTTGTTTTTTTTAGTAATTGAATTATTCCATCAATTGAGTAATCAGAATTATAAATAAAAAAAAAAAATTAAATTAATAATTAATTTTAGAAATTGTAATAATTTAAAAATAAAAATAATACAGTGTATAGATAGATAGATAGATAGATAGATAGATAGATAGATAATATATATATATTTTTTGTTTTGTTCATTGTATTTACATGCCAAGTTAATCTTGTTTTCAGGCTTCTTGGAAGGCTTTCTTACATTAGAAGAGAGCAAAAGGGTTGTGACAGTATTCTATCTCCTGAGGTAGATTTAATGTGTTTTTATGTACGTTTTGTGCATATATTAGATTTTATATTAAGGTAAATCTTAAAAATAATATTAGTAAAGTCAAATGTGCACTAGGGCACCCTATGCCCCCCTTTAGACCCACCCACTCAGACTATGTTAACAGGTCATCTGCACACACATGCGTTTATTTTAACTTCTGTAGCTGTTAAGATTTTTCACTGTGCAAAACAAAGTGCGGTAGATGGGAGCAAATCCAGAGTTTGCTTTTCTTCATGTTGGAGCAAGTTCAGTAGGTGGTTTGACAGTTGTGGCAGTTACAGTAACGCTTTTTTTTTTTTTTTCCATAATTGAGTTACTCGATGAATAATTGCAGCCCTTTTAATAAGCCCAAAGCTGTCTGCGGTGTAGGTAACATTCAAGCGCGCACCTTCATCTGTTATCTGGCAGTTATATAACACAAAAAAAGGGAGGGGAAAAACAAGTGGGGTTTTGTTTGTTTGTTCCTCCCCATTTGGTACAAAAAAACTGACGATACCAAAGATGTAGATGCAGACTATAATCTTCTTGCATGTTGTACCCAGCGTCTGATTGAGTGTATGTATTTATTTTCAAAGGTTCACACAGTAGTTTCTTCATCTCAGGAGCGTTCGGGGCTCTCCCACAGCGACTCATCATTACGTCGCCAGCAGACGTTCCACCAGGCTGTCTCAGCCTCTCACTACAGCTTCCCCGAGGTGGTAGCCCTGGCGTCCGGCTCGGCCGCTGCTGCCGCCCCCCCCAGCCTATATACCTACCCGGCCTCTACTGCCCTCTCCTCAGCCTCTCAGGCCACGGAGCAGCTGCTGGGCCGTGGTCACAGCACCCACGGACACTCCCCCTCCGCTTATGCAGCAACGTACACCTCATCCTCCTCCAGGAGAGACTCGGCCAGTCGCAAGGACTCGGTGAGCAGCCTGCTGCACGGCCTCCCTGCAGCCTACCAGCATCAGTTCGCCACTGGTTCTCCTTATGTTAGTGTGACGCCCCGAACCGAGGTTTACAGTGCCTACCAGCTAAGCCCTAGGCGCCTCGCGCAGTATCCATATTTGTAGGAAATCTCGCACAAAGAATTGGGGGGGGGGTCACTTCCCCATATGATATCACAAAGGGACATTTTAAACTGTAGAGTAACTGTTGGTCACTTATTGTTTGCTGCTTTGAACTACAAGACAGCGTTTCACCTCTAGCACATTTATATGCTCTTATGGACTCTTAGTGTTATTGAAATGATCCTCTGTATTATTTATCTTTTTTCCCTTTTAAATTGTTTATGGTCCACATTTTATCCCCATTGCATCCTGATGTATTAATATGGTGTTGTTGAAACATATTTTACAGCTGTTTTATCTCGAGGTTATCTGTGAAGAGAGATTTTCCTCCTGTCACAAGCTGCAACGAAACTTGAGGAGCTTCAAGACGCTGACTTGCCAGACTGATGAAGCTGACAGTTTTTAGTTTTATTTTAGTTTTTTTTTTTCTCTTGTTCCTTCCTGTGAACCTTATTATAAAGTTTTCACACTAATCCACTGAGGCCCTGTGTTTTTAGTGATATAATAATGACTGTACCTTACTTATGTTTGTTTACTCATATATGTCTTCTGTTTATTAAATTAAGTTTTAATGTCTGTGCAAGGTAGGAAGAGCGAGGTCCACGAAGATGTGGACTAAAAGAAGAGATACGGTGAAAACTGATGGATATGTGTTAATTTAAGTGCACATGTGATAGTCTGTTAATGTAGTGACAGTGTTTTTTAGCCAGGATTGATTGTCCTTATGCAATAGAATCTCTTTTAAAAACAACAACAAAAAAAACCTACAATAACTGAGTGCTGAATGTATTTATGAAATTCAGAGTGGATGCCCAGTCTGAGAAATGATGTGAAAAACTGTTTTTAAATTGTAAGAGCGGGGAAATCAAATGTCCTTGAAATAAATATTTTTTAAAAAAAACCTCACATGGGCTGGGGAGAGGGGGGAAGATGAAACACACAAATTTCACCCCAAATTCCCACGCCTCTCCATAACAAAGGAGATTTTCCTTTTTTCTCCCTGTGACGCTCTGAAAATGCTTGCTAGGAAGTTGTAACAAACTTGCACACTGTGCTACACAAGGACTGACTGATTAAATGTATGCAAACTGTCTCAGTTTAGCGTTCTCATGAATTATCCCGTGTATCAAAGAGATCTTTATACTGCTATGTCTCGCCCAGAGGTGCAGCTGTCCTTTACATGTACAGCTTACTTCGTCTCAGAAAGGTTTTCTATACTAAAGTTTGGAGAACAGCAGTCACTGTGTTTTTGAATTTTTAAAGGAGGTGAATCTTTGGTTTCTTTGGATTATCAGCTTTTTTTTTTCCCCCCCAAAGTAATTCCTTTCCCCTTGTTTGCATCAGTTTTGTGTTGTAACGTCTGTGTTTAATCCTAACATAGTAAAGAGGCTGTTAGATCTAATTCAGGGACAAAGGTTTCAGCTAAGTAATCCAATTTCATTGTTTTCCAATAAAATAACCTCAAATTCACAGCGACTCGTTTCCTCATTCATTCCTTTTTTTTTTCTTAAGAGAACTCTTTATTGTCATTGCGCAGTCATACATAGTACAATGAAATTGGAAAACTGTCCTACGTCAGCACTACATATAATATGACACACACTATATTAACTTAGTAATAAAAAAAGAATAAGTATATTTGTATTGCACATTAGTCATTATTGCACCTTGTTATAAATATAAATATTATTGTTAATGTTTTTA